GAATAAGAACATGTAAAAAAAACATATTTTCATCAGTTAGAGAGAATATGAAATAGTCTCATTCTCATGACAGTTCTAAAGTGGGATAAAAGAATAAGTTAAGCACAAACCATAATGCTTGGCATATGTCTACTCTAATGTCGACCATCAAAAGATCACACACTAATTAGTTCATGGACTTTCTGAAACCAGAATTTCAAGGATGGCTTCTTCATCTATATTTGGAATTGCAGCAAGAAATCATTGTACATATTTGCAGTAGAAGATAACAAAAAGAAGCAATCAAAGGACAATCACAAACGTTTGGAAAAAATGATTTATACGCGAAGAAGAACACTAAGCTCACGTCGAAAATTAAAAAAAAAAAATCTCATCAATATAAGAATGTGGCCGTCAAGAAGCCAACATGAGTCTCTCTCTCAAAGACCTCTCAAAATCCTAACTATAAAAGTACAGACGTCTCAGCACGAGAAACCTAGCAATCGTTTCCAAGATTTGAAGGATAGTGACGCCGGATTGAGAGAAAGTCAACATGATATTCCAATGGGACTCACTAAAACACACGTAAAGCAACGAGAAAGTTTTCGAGAGTGAATCAGAGCATGAAACCCCTTTCTCTAAGAATGAAGAACAGATGATGATAAGAGGGACGGTAAGAAAATGTCTGCAATTTTTTCCTGTGAACAATTTTTTAAAAATTGAAATTCCCCCAAATAACACATATAGAGGTGGGATTGTTTCATTCCTATTTTTCAACTAAAAAAGTATCGAAAGTCTCTCAAAATCAATGTTCACTGTTTTTACTAAAAATATTTGTTAAGTTTGAATAACACTTGATTTGATATAAGTTTAATAAATCATCGATTGAATAACAAGAGGTTGTGAATGATTTTGGGTGATTTTGTATAAATTTCAAGTTCAATAACAAGGGATTTGGAAATCTATTTAAAAATCACAACTTGAATAACAAGTGATTTTAATAAAAGACTAAAGTCTTCTAAAATCCTTATTTCAATACACCCCCTTAGCTTCTGAAAATATTATATTCTATGAATGTTGATATATCTTCTTTTAGTTATGCCAGAAATGTCGTTTACCAAATTAGTTAATAGGGCTTGTAATTAACAAATTCGGACGTCAACATTTGATCTTCTAATCAAAGGAATTAGGACTTGATCTATTACATAGGTTTTTTTACACTTGATTTTGCAAAATTTAGGCATTTTAATCTATCAAAACGTCCTAGAATTAATATTGGAGAGTATAATCTACGCTTTGATCAAACTCTTATTACTAAACCTCTATATGTAGTGGGACAAAAATAGACTTAACATATATCCTCACACCAATGAAAGTGAAAACCACAGAAACAAATTTATTAAACGTTTTATCATAAAGAAGTGTACACGTTGTCAGTCAGCCCTGCTTGTCTTGGATACCAAAGATGCCAAAAATCTTGATTCATATCACCACCAAATGCGATATAAAAACCCGGCCAAAAATATTACAATTATTTTCACGAATGTAATCGTACCAAACTGTTAATAACCAAAATTGTCACTGTTGCCTCGGTTGACAGACAGCTTTTGTTTACACTTAACTACAAGCAACATATATCACATTATTAATTAACCCCTCTAAACTTTACTGATTATTGAACAAAGAAAAGATAACATTGATTAATTCGACTGAAACTACATCTTACTTCATGATTCAACATCACTTCTAGACTTGTAGTTAATAACAATTAACAATCCTGACTAATAGTAGAAACGTGGTCAACAGATTATTTCAACGAAGTGTCAAGTTTCGAAATATTATGGTTTTTATAGCAATCGTGATTAGTATTTATAGTTTTCATACACATTTTCACAATGTCAACAAAAATGGAAGATACGACCAGACAAAATCAACAAATAAACAGAAATTTACACCTTTAAAATTTGAGGAAAAGAATTGAAACGTTGTCACAGCGAAACGCGGTGTTGCCGAACAAGAAATCCTTCCAAAACGACTTTTTTCTTATAAGCCTCAGAGTTCAAATCCAGATCACCTTGAAACGACCCCTCTTCACCTTTACCGCTACCATTGCGTTTGCGTTTGGCCACCGCAACCGCAGTGGCAGCTTCTTTGAGACGAGGGAGAATGTAGCACCAAGTAGATGTACAAAGTATCGCACACAAACGTCCCCACGTCAACATTATCATTAGCGTTAACATTATGATTGATATCCCAATTACCGGGTCAAGCTTAGCCACCCGGGACCCTTTTCTGACCCTTGACGACTTCTCCCTTATTTCCTTCGGCTTGGATCCGGACCCGACGATATTAGTCGGGTCAAGTTTCCCGTCTGTTGATACCCGTTCGTAAAACGTGTCATCATACCCTAAGAAACTCAATGGATCCGGATTTATGTCTCTTCGTTCGGTCGTGTCTTTCTGAAAAAAATGGAAATGTTAAAGAAAAACCTGAAAGAGAGAAACAATTATAACCGAAAAAGCAAAGTAAAAATAAGGGAAAACAATGTTACTGTCAAGTAAATTCTTTTCCTGAAATAGAACGGTAAGTAAGCGCAAATTTTTCTGTGTTTGTTATATAAAAATATCGACACAAAAAAAGATGAAAAAACAAAAAAAAATAGTTCAGTAAGAAAAATTAAGAAATACTACCTCGTAACTTTCATGATCAACGGCCTTATAACCACTAGTCGCAACATTTTTCCGATCGGGTACATGACGTATCACCCGAAACAGATTTTGCTTGTCATCTTCAACAGTCGAGTTTTGACACTCCATCTCGTGAATCGGCGTCGCCGGTGTGATATCACCGTTCTTCAAACGAAATTTTGTTGGCCGTGAAAACCAACGAGTTCTCATCTTCTTCTTCGTCTTCTGCGTCTCTTGACCAGCATCTACTATTGGTTTGTCTGAGTGAATTTTCCGAGAAACCCCGAAACAGCGGAGAAAATAAGAAGACGAAGACTTTATTCTCTCTCGGACTTTCCTCTCCGGCTTGCCCATTAAAAGTTGAGAACAAGTATCCAGAAATGTTAACATTTTTGTGAAGACTTGGACATTAATATATGATTCGGAACGGTTGGAATTATATCCCATATTTTATTAATTGAAATATTTTGTGAAATATATACGATAAAAATGATAGTGTTCGCACGCTTTCGGAAATATATAAAAAGAAATATATACGATAAAAACAAAAAAGAAATATTTTGTGATAGTGTTCGCACGCTTTCGGAAATCGTTTCGGAGTATATAATTACGGTCGTGCCTTAGGAGTTGAATAGTATATTTTGTAGATTTATGACAGTTTTGTTATAAACATTAGTATAATATGATGTCATATACAACAACAAAAAATTTGATGTCATGTACTATAGTTCTTTCGTGTCTTAAAAACTATCTTGATCATTGTTGATATATTTTGAATCTCTTCACACGTTGCTTGCGATAGCGCATGAATCTTGCTACCCGACCAATAAGTCGGAAGGTCCATTAGAACGATTGGTCCATAGTTTGGGGATCGCGGTATAGACATCCCCGACCCGAACGATATGTGGTAATTCTTATATGGCTACGAGTTGGATAACATGAAATTGTGTCTAGCCCTAGCTAAAATAGCCTAGTACAACTTGATCGGAATTGGATGAATATGTCGTCATCGGTCCATGAAAATGATGACAAGGTAATTCTAAAGCTAGCAAGGGTTAACTCTCCAAACAAATCGACTGAAAGTTGGTTTCTATTTTGTTATTATCTAATCAAACTTATCCTTGTATCATCCACCCATCTATCTCTTATGTCTATTATTGCTTTTAATCTTGTTAAGAAACTTTTTTTTATAAGAAACAAATTAACTCAATTTTGTTAAGAAACTAAAATTACAAAAAATTACTAGTTGAAATATCTTCATTTACAGTATTCAAGAATAATATTGCAGCTTGTCCCTTTCTCCTTTATTCGTCAAACAGTATTTGATACGAAAAATCTTAGTGAAGAAGAATCAACTCAAAAAATAGTGGATTTTGCTGGTGGCCAGCCAAAGTCTTTCTTAAGAGTTATGGTCGTGTCCACGTTTCTACTTTCTAAGTCGCCAAGTTTTCTCTTGCTGTCTACTTATTTTATTATTATGTTTGAAAGGTTCAAATTGAATTTTTTTTTATAAAATTTGTAGACAATGTACTGACTAAACCAAGTTTACATAAACTCATTGTTTCGCGGTCTTTTTAGTTTTCGTCTGGGCCTTAACCCACTTACATTTTATTCCACAATGAATAACTTTCGTACTTTAACCAACAACAAAAAAAAAACTTTGGTTTGAATCTTAGGCCACAAGAAAAGAAGTTGGGTTATTTTGGTGGATGACTTTCTTTTGAGTGTAAATCAAGAAAATAACATGTTAATATATGTGTACTCTAATTCTGGATACAAGATTCCAAGTAAATGCTATAGAGCTAATGCAAGAAAGTTATACAACTTCTACAACAAAAAAAAGAAAGAAAACAAAAAGAAAGAAATTTATACAATTGTGTGTATCAAAGATTTGGTTGTTATTTTCGAGGACTTATATGAAGACCGTTGTTAACAAAAAAAAAATGCACCGCTACTTGGAAAGAAGGTTTGTAAGAGAAAGAGAGGGTTATTACCCAAAATTCATTATCATCGATGCAAGATATTTGTGTTGGATTGTAGGCAAATCACTGTTACTTTTGATTAGCAAATAAAACGTTTTTGTTAGCTCCACAATTAACAATCCAAAAGAGGTTAGCTATGACTTCGAATAGAGATGTGCGATGAGGAACAAATTTGGGTGCAGTGCGGGCAGAATAGTAGTGAAATTCAACATATTGCGATCACCCTTGTGTGCTCCAATCCCTTTCTTTTTTCTTGTCACTTTACCACATTTTGAACTTTACATGTGAAAGTGAAAGTGAAAGTTTGAACCCAAATCAAAATTGATTTTATCCTAACAAGTATGAAATGAAATTTAGGAAAATCAAAACTCACTAGACCAACAACGGTTAAATAAATCAATCGATCACGACTGAATTAATAATGGATTAATGGTTACATTATCCGAAGGGATAACAAAATTAAATGCTATATCATTCTTTTTCGCGAGTGTTCTTCTGCTTGGATTTGGTTGTTTGTTTTTTGTAACCATCCTTTCCAACCCGACCCGATTCGACATTTGACCCGGCTTCATTAACTCTCACCAAACGCGGCAAGTTTGACCCGGCCACGTCAGCGTTTCTCTCAACCGTTTTTTCCGCCGTTTCAGTTTAACAACCCGACGCAAAACGCTAATCCATAACGGCAAACTCTTCAACGGTTCCGCCAAACACGCCACTATCTCCGTCGTGATCTCCCCGAAACACGGACGTGATTCCACGTCGGAGGAAACGCATCTCGCCGCCATACGTAACAAACGTAAATTCATTCCCCGGAAAACAGCCGATCCTCCTCCTCCTCCGCCGCAGATTTCTCCGATCCTCCCTTCTTTAATCAACGGAACCGCCCAGTCCACTATCGAAGACGGCGAACGAGAGACGTCGATAGCTTTCCTACAGCTAACAATCTCCAACAAAACAACACCGTAACTATAAACATCAGTCTTCATACTCAGATTCTCCGGTAACGTGTAACACGGATCTAAGTATCCGATAGTTCCCGCCGGCGCTGGTCTCGTCTTCCCACCTCCCAAATCAACGGCGAGTCCGAAGTCAGCAAGCTTCGCTTCCCAATTCGAATCAAACAAAACGTTTTCCGATTTGATATCACGGTGGATGATACCTTGTTCATGGAGGAAGTGAACCGCACTCGCGATCTGAAGAGCGATTTCAATGCGTTTAAGCCAAGTGGGAAGAGGATCAGCTGACACGTGTAATAACTGGTGTAACGATCCGTTTGGCATGAACTCAACGACCATGAGTTTTTTCTCGGCGTGACCTAAAAAGCTCAAAACGTGTGGGTGATATGGTAACGATGACATAACATTGATCTCGTTTTCTAGTTTCTTCGTTTGTTCTGATTTGGATGATGATGATGAGAGAGATAATGATAATGATGATGGTGCTTTAATGGCTACGACTCTTTGATGTTTGTCGTCGTGGTTATGGTGATGAAGAAGGGCTTTATAAACATAGCCATGGCTTCCTTTACCGATGAGTTTTGAATGAGAGAATCGATCTGTGACAGTGAAAAGCTTGTCATAATCGAACTCCTTCATCGGTAAATTTGCAGAGAAAGAGAGAAAGAAGATTTGTGTGTTGTCTGTGTTTATACGTGTAAAAGAATAAAGTTGTAAAAATCATATAATTCGAAAATTATTGAGAAAAGCAAAAGGAAGAAAGGAATATAAAGCTTTTTTTTTTTTTAAAACATTGTTTTATAGAGTAATGATGATAGATGGTGCTTTTTTCATATTCCTTTCGGACATCTTTCATGCTTTTGAGATAGTTGGGTTCAAAGTTTAAGGTTAAAAGCTGATTCCCCTATGTTTAACAATTTGTTTCATATGTTGTTGGCCTAACCGCCTTAACCGGTGCGTTTAGGTTACCGAAGAAAAGTGAGTCGCAGTGATTAACAAATAACAAGTCAAGTGAATTCTTACCAAAAAAAAAAAGGTAAAGCGAATGAAACAGCAAACACTTATCTGAACTCACGAAATTCATATTTGTTGAAGCATGAGAGTCGTCTTGAGACTACACTTGATGATCATCAAGAAGTGTATAAGACTGAATAACAAACATATTTAACCGGTCCATAAGTATGAAACCGTCTTTTGACTATATATAGCCTCAAAGACTGACGACGGATATGCATCAATAACCTTCAAGCTTCGGCAAGTCTTCTTATATTTAGCTGAGAAGCTTATTTGCTTACGCTCAACTTCATATAGTATTGAGAGTCTCCCTAGACGCACAATTACATGTTCTTGTAGGGGCTGCAAGTCTGCAATAGATTTTAAGGTCCTGCTGCTGTGTAGCAATTAAAACAAACTGCATACATTCTGTTAACATGGATACAGCGAACAAGACATATTGAAAAAGAGACAAAGAATGAAATCTATGTTACTTGAGTTATTGACTTATTGACTTATTTTCTAGCAAATATATACCGTTTACCAATGGAATTCCAGGATGGCCACAAGCGTTCCACTCACAAGAAAATGTCAGGAGTACGTAGTTTTAAATACACCTGCTCTCCTAGGTCGATCATCACCCTGAAAAGAAGTATTTTGGTAGACCAGTACTCTCCAATCATTTTAGACTTACGTTGTAGTTTTCTAAATTGTAAATTTGTAATAAAAAATTTGCCTTCGTAAACCGTTAGAAAATGGAAACACTATAAATTTTCTTTTAGTTAAATGTATATTATTATCAACAACAATATAGAAAATATAATACTCCCTCCGTTTTAAAATGTAAAAAGTTTTGAGGTATTATTTTTGTTTCAAAATGTAAGACGTTTTCAAGTTTTTATGCAAATTATATATTAATTTAATATTTTCTGATTATTTATATTCTGTACTCTAATTCATGATTGGTTGAACTTTTTAAAAGTGGATATTTCTTAATCTGCGTGCTCTATACTAAAACGTCTTATATTTTGAAACGGATGAGTATTTGAATAAGTATCATTATTTCAATATAATTTTCACAAAAATGTATAAAATATTTCATTTCCAAAGTGCCAGAAGGTAGCCTATAGATACTTATCCCAGCCATTAAAAATATTTCATTTCCAAAGTTATTTGTTAATACCAATTACATGAATTAAATATGACTTGGAACCCTAAGCGTTACTTTCATTTGACGAACAAAGTTTATATATAATCTTCAGAAAGCAAACAAAAAGGAGAAGAAGAGTCTTGCATCTGGAGAAGAAGTAAATTGAAATATGGCACCCAAGCAGCCGGAAGAAATCGAGAATCCTCCGACGGCGTCGGCATCTTCATACGAAGAAGAAGAAGAGTCTGGTTCAACTGAAAATGAATCCGGTTCTTCTGGTGAGGAGACTGACTCTTCGGATCATGAAGATGAAGAGGCAGAGAAACATGTCATAAGCACATGTCATAAGCACTCCCTTATCTTCTGGTCAAGAGCTCTTCTTCTTTAAGGTTAAGAATCCGACTTGTTTGGGTATTGATGAAGCAGAGTGGATTGCAAGCTGTCTTCTCAACCTAATAAACTCCGGTACACCGGAAGTTCAAGATCGGAGAACAGAGAAGAAGAAGGATATAACAAACTTTCTTATTCAGCTTAAAATGTTGTTACAACCAACTTAACCTATAAAATGAATGTAATTAAGCTTATATACATAGAACTAAACCGAGTATTAATCTCAGCTCAGTAAACCACACATAACCGAAGCTAACCGATCCTTATACCCTTAATACGCCCCCCTCAAGTCTCTATCTTCAGGATGTCTGGTTGGGAAGAAAGAGACTTGACAAAGACATTTGTTGTAGTAGATGATGAAAAGGACCCGGATGAAGCGCTTTAGTAAGTATATCAGCATGTTGGTTTGCTGTGGGAACATGTAAAGCTTTGAGATTACCTGCTTTGATTTGATCACGGACAGTATGACAATCAATCTCTATGTGCTTTGTTCTTTCATGGAAAACAGGATTCATGGAAATATGCAGAGCAGATTTGTTGTCACAGAACAATTTAGCATGACAAGTAACCTTCACATGTAAGTCTTTAAGGAGTTGTTGAAGCCAAATGATCTCACATGTAGCTTGAGCCATACTCCTATATTCAGATTCTGTACTGCTTCTACTTGCTACAGCCTGCTTCTTTGATTTCCAGGAAATGAGAGAAGTTCCCAAGTAGATGCAGAACCCTGTAATTGATCTTCTAGTATCCTTACACGCAGCCCAATCAGCATCAGAAAATCCATTCAAACATATTTCAGCATCTACTGAATACATCAAGCCTTGACCTGGATTAGCTTTAATGTACCTTAAGACCTTGTGTGCAGCCTGTAAATGTATATCAGAAGGTGCTGAAATAAACTGACTCAACTGATGGACTGCATAGGTAATATCTGGTCTTGTGATTGTCAGATAAAGCAAACGTCCTATAAGTTCTCTGTAAGCAGTCGGATTTGGTAAAGGAGTTCCCATATCTTTTACCAAATGTAGTGTTGGATCCATATGAATAGAACTAGGCTTGCAACCAAGTAAACCAGCATCTTCCAATAAATTCTGAGCATACTTCCTTTGACAAACTGAGATCCCTTTAGATGATCTTGAAATTTCCAGTCCAAGAAAGAACCTAGCTGGTCCAAGATCCTTGATTTTAAACTCAGATCTCAATAAAGTCTTCAATGTCTCCACTGCTATATCATCATTACTGGCAATCATGATGTCATCAACGTACACAAGCACAGCAATAAGTGAACCAGAACTCACTTTAACAAACAAAGTGTTGTCAGCAGGAGACTGATGAAGTTAGCACCCAAAAGAACTGAAGAAAACCTCTTATACCATTGGCGAGAAGCCTGCTTCAAGCCATAGAGAGATTTCAATAACCTGCAAACAGGATTAGGTGGTAACTCTGTATTCGAAGGAGGAGTATAACCCTGAGGAAGACTCATAAAAATTTCTTCATCTAGCTCTCCATGTAGAAAAGCATTTGAAACATCCATTTGTGTCAGAGTCCACCCTTTAGCTGCAGCAAGACCAAGCATGAGTTTCACACTGGTGAGTTTTGCAACAGGGGAAAAAGTATCTAGAAAGTCAATTCCTTCCTGTTGTGTAAACCCTTGATCCACCAGCCTTGCCTTATAACGTTCCACTGTACCATCAGGGTTATACTTTATTGTAAAGACCCACTTACATCCTACCACATTCTTACCCGGAGGTAAAGATTCAACAATCCAAGTCTTGTTAAGTTCCAGAGCATGAAGCTCTTCATCTGCAGCCTTAGTCCATTTCTCTGATTTCATAGCCTGTGAAAAAGTCTTTGGTTCTGTTTCTGTATTATAGGCTAAGATATAGGATTGAAAAATTGGTGTATATTTGTCATATGAAATGACTGAGGAGATAGGATATGGTGTAGTCTTTTTAGGTGATGAAGATGATGTATTAGATATAGGTGTTATAGTAGATATAGAAGAACAGGATGGTATAGTGTTTGGAAGAGAATTTGTAGGTGGTAAAGTGGATATAGAAGGAACAAGAGAACAGTGATACTCAGATAGATAACTAGGAGCCTTAGTAGTACGTTTAGATCTAGCAATAGGTACAGTATTAAGGCCTAAATCCGGTGTCACTGTAGTATTAGGTATTCTGGTACTAGGTAATGCAGATGATGATGATGATGATGCATTATTTGATGCAGCATTAGTATTATTAGACACAGTAGGTACTAAAGAATCTTCATCAATCAAAGGCATAGTTTCTACAAAATGTAAAGGAGCTGGTAAAGGTAAAATCGTATTAGGAAACACATCAACAGCTTTAGAAAGTAATTCACTGGTTTTAAAAGGGAAAATATTTTCTTTGAAAACAACATTGCGAGATATAGAAAAGGAATGTGTTTCAAGATCCAAAACCTTATACCCTTTATATCCAGAAGGATATCCTAAGAACACACAAGGCTTAGCACGAGGTGAAAATTTGTTCCTTTCATGTATATTTGTTAAAACATAACAGAGACATCCAAAATTCTTTAGCAATGAATAATCCGGTTTCTTATTCAATAGAAGCTCATATGGTGATTTGTTATCTAACAAAGGTGATGGCAGTCTATTGATTAAAAAAGCAGCAGTTAACACACAATCACTCCAATATTGCATAGGAATATTTGATTGAAACAATAAAGCTCTAGCAACATTAAGAAGGTGTTGATGCTTTCTCTCCACAACAGAGTTCTGTTGAGGAGTATAAGCACAAGAAAAATAATGAAGCATGCCATGTTCTTTTATCAATTCTGTAAACTTCAATTCAGGAGCATTATCACTTCGGTTATGTGTGGTTTACTGAGCTGAGATTAATACTCGGTTTAGTTCTATGTATATAAGCTTAATTACATTCATTTTATAGGTTAAGTTGGTTGTAACAACATTTTAAGCTGAATAAGAAAGTTTGTTATATCCTTCTTCTTCTCTGTTCTCCGATCTTGAACTTCCGGTGTACCGGAGTTTATTATGGTATCAGAGCCCAAGGTTGGCCCAACAAGCAAATTCCCACAAAAATGGTTTCCCACCTATGTGGCCCATATAAGTGGCATGTCTTGTTGTATTTCCGAGATGTTGGGCTTGGGCTGTTTCCCGTTGGACCGTTTCCCACCCACATCTCGAGGAGGCCTATTAGAATGTCCCATATTGCTTGGGATTAAGGTCTTTGGGTAGTATATAAAGGATGTGGCAATCCTTAACTCTTGAGCTAGCTTTTGGGTTAAGTTAGGCCACATTCCTAATACAACCTTCAAGAAAGAGACGAGCTCTTGACCAGAAGATAAGGGAGTGCTTATGATTCTCAACCTTCAAGAGTGGAGTGGGTATTGAAAGTTGATTTACGTCATCCAAAAATTCAATTTTGTCTTGTAGTTGTAGATCGCGTGTGATCGGATTTTCAAGCGAATTAGGTCACTTCTATGCAATTAAGCAACAAAGACAAAATTGTAGATACACACGGTTTCATAATACGATATTTCTGTCTTTAAAATTGCCGACCAATGAGATTGGATGTAAACTAAGTTTATATATAAACTATCAGGAAACGAATTAAGAATGAAAAGTAGTACCTTGTGACAGACGATGACAATGGCAGAGGTCATAGAGACACATGCAAAATGAAAGAGCTGTTTAGATTTTATTTAGTGAAATTAAATACCACTTCTAGTACTGTTCATAACCCTGAAAATGGCAGAGGTCATAGAGACACATGCAGAAGTTATTGCGACGTGACTTTATTTAACTTATTTAAAAACGTATTTTTATTTGGTATGGACGTCCACCGATATGTGTAAACGTTCAACGGAATGCATAGACGTATACAATTGCAAAAACTATATATACTAATAAACTTATACGCATGTTTTGTTTTGCTACATGTCTAGTAATTAATGATGTACTTTCAATTCTATTATGACTTTGATTTTCAAAATAAAGTATAGAGTATATTTCGTCAAAACAGTGTTAAAGAGTTTTGACAAAGGATTAGTGTTAGATTCTTTAGGATTTCAAAAAAAAAAAAAAAGGTTAGATCGTTTCCAAATTGAATTCCAAACTGGTTATGTCATATTGCCTAATAAAAATATTATATACGCATAGAAATAAAATTAAAATTCCAAGTAATAAATTTATTATCATATTACAAGCCCCACCAACTAATTTCCTAACAACAACCCATAATTGGTCCACATATAAGTATAACCCATTATACTTCCTCCACATTTCCACGTACACATAAATCCATAGACTATACACATGATCTATAACAAAGTGGAAAAAAAGAAAAGAAAAAAAAACATACTTGAAAAATTCAAATAAACTAAAAGTAAGCACACAATCTTCTTAGATGATTAACTTAATCAATTAACAAATCTCAAAACATTAAAACACTAATTAATATAACCCTCATCAAAAGACTTGGCATAGTATTGATCTATCTCGGAGACACTCCTATTGATCAAATTCACCATCAAACCATGTTTCATGTACATTGTGAGTGCCAACTTCGGCTCCACCTTGTGACCATTCACCACCTTCACCTTGTACCGGTAAACTATTGCGGCCGCCGTAGATTTCATCTGATAATAGGCAAAATCTTTGCCTAGACAAAGGCGTGGACCGCCGTTAAAGGCCGTGAATTTATAGGCCGACTCACTCATGAACCGTCCGTCTCTTAGCCACCTCTCTGGCCTAAACTCACGACAGTCTTTTCCCCAAATAGCTTCCATCCGACCCATTGCGTAAATCGCGTATATAACCTTCTCTCCCTTCTTCAACATTGTTCCATCAGGAAATACGTCGTCTTCTTGAACCTGAATAAGCATAGAAATTTTAATATGTATGAGTTCGTTGTCAGATATTTCATGGGGAAACAGCAAAACATGACATTCTTATTGGTTACCAAGAAGTCAAAATGGTTGTTATTTTTTCTTTTTTAAAGAAGTGATTCTTTAAGATACTTGGATATATTAATTAGGTGTCTTCCCAAGAACTTCTACATTAACTTTGTCTGTTTACTGATTAGGTCACCTGTATAGAAACCAACCAGAAATAGGATTTTAAGAAATTCTTTAGCCCTTTTTCTCGTCGAAAGGGTTTTTT